GCTGGCGTGCTCTTATCTCAATCTGTGGGAGTTACATTCTTCCAGTTCTCCTCCCCATCCCTCCGGGAGCAGGGGGAGGAAGAAGCAGTGGGAGTGAGCGAGCGGCTGCATGGTTCTGAGTTACCGGCTGGGCTTAAACCATGACAATAATCCTTTGGCAAAACTTTGTTTGATGTTCCTCTTTTCCAGCACTAAAAACCCGTTCTGCTTAGGCACTCCAAACATAAGATTTTTTGTTTCTTTTGCAGCAGCATCTCAACACTGAGTATAAATTCTTTTGAACGTAGAGTAATGCATAGCTGTATTACAGAGTGAGGCTGAGAGCTTCTCCTCTTTAAAGATGTGACACAACTGCATGGCTGTAACAGCCCAACTGTAAATCACTACTCCTATAACCATGCAAGACAAACAGTCTCTCCCGTCTCTTCACCATCAACACAAGAGTCAGCATAGAGCAGAAGTGACAGTGAAGTCTTCTGTATTAGCACTGAAAGAATTGTAATACAAATAAACTATTACCTGTTATCACACATACTAAAGGTGGAAGCTTGACTCCCTCATTGATGTACTGCTCGTAACCTGGAGAAGATAAATAAAAACTGTTGAGAGCTGAGAAATGCACAATATTTGGTTTAAGAATGATCACAGGGTATTAACCGTTTAGCTGCCTACTTCAAGTAATTTCTTTACAAGTATATACCTAGTAAAACAGGGGCAAACTCAGAAACGTTAAACATGTTAAATGTTGGTGTTAAAACTGAAATAAAGGATGGTCCATTTCAGATGTACTATTCATGAAGCATTTGTTTGACTACACCACATCAGCTGCTTCAATATACCAAGTTCAAAACCGTAGCTGCAATGTCTACAAAGTAAGACAAGTTGCTTTCCTGTGAGCAGATGTCTATGGAGAGTGTAAGCAATATCTTAGAAAAGAAAACTGCAGTCAACAAGCCAGTTAGAAATACAATTCTCTGTAACGACTACTCTAATTGAATCCAGATCTTGCACTTCCCTAGTACAGCTACAACTCTTAAACCACTTCCAATTAATCCAACATGCATTTGGATGTATTGCTCTTTAACAAGTGCCTTCCTAAATGTCCAGGGCACAACCACTCCCCTTGGAATAGGTGAGATTAAATCCTTCATACCTACCTTCTAAAGCTTTTAAAAGGACTGAAAAGTCTTCATCCTCTGAAAGAGAAGGCTTTATTAGTGATACTCATATTTCCACCATTGATAATGAATTACTGTCATTAAATAACAACCAAGACTTTCCTCACCTTCCCCTATGCAACTAAAGTATGGACCATGCTTCTGTAAAAAATCTGCTGTAGCTGTTCTCATAAATAAATCTATAACCATATCCTGTGCTTATTTGCTCCCCTTACTGGCCACATGGCACACAACTGAGCCCCAAATACCACGCACCCTCAAACTATCAAGTTAAAATTTTCTAGGTTCCGAAGGTAGATAACTCATGGTAGAAACTGCCCTGTTATTTCAGAGGCACAGACAATCCTGCTCATGGTTACTAGCAATGGATTTGTTTCCACACATTATCAGAAATGAAGGAGTAAATGTTTTAGATTTTTTAATGTATTTCACACCATCATGCAAGATAATACACCTTGAATTAAAGCTTAAAAAAGTAGGAAATCTCTTCTAATAATTCTTGAAGCTGAGCCTCTATAATTACAACACAATTTTACAAATAATTAATTTTTAGTCACTGAGATAATTTACAACTTGTCTTCAAATCCTTACAACCAAGAGAAGGCTCCTTAAGGGAAGACCTTAGAGCAGCTTCCAGTGCTTAAAGGGGCCAACAAGAAACATGAAGAGGAGCTTTGGACAAGGGCCTGTAGGGACAGGACAAGGGGGAATGACTTTGACCTGCCAGAGGGGAGAGTGAGATGAGCTCTTAGGCAGAAGCTCTTCCTTGTGAGGGTACTGAGGCGCTGGCACAGGTTGCCCAGAGAAGCTATGGCTGCCCCGTAGTGTTCAAGGCCAGGCTGGACAGGGCTTGGAGCAACCTGGTCTAGTGGAAGGTGTCCCTGCCCATGGCAGGGGTTGGAACTGGATGAGCTTTAAGGTCCCTTCCAACCCCAACCATTCTAGGATTCCATGAAAAACATAATTTTGCCACTGGTGGTGACATGTGCCTTTGCAGCGTGTCAAGTGTGAGGAAGTACAAAGAGCCTTTCTTTTCTCTTTTGTTAAATAATGGTAAAACATTAGAAATAACACTCTCTGTCTCCACACCTGTCCAGCTCGTGCTGCTGATGAGAAGTGCTGGCCGTGCTTGGCTCTTCCTCACGTGTCCATTGCTTCCATCCACTTCTGTAAAGGCTGATTTCTCACCATTCCAACTGACAGACTCTGTACTAAGGAAACAGAATTTTCTGAGGATGGGCTACACAAAGAGCCAACATGCAGAGAGGCAACACTACACTGAACTGACCTGCATTTCCAAACACTTTATGTCAGATTTGCTGCTCACGTTCTCTAGAAAGTCATTACGATACTGAGCTGCAGAGAGAGACCTGATCATAAGAGAGACCATTTACCTCTTTCTTGTTGCTACCAAGAGCCTCCTGACAGTACTGCTATAGGTATGACTCCACCTTCTAACAGCATTTTCCTCAACAAGTTGAGAAAACAGCCAGCCTCTTTCCAACTCTGCTTCAAACACAGAATACAGCAGGGAGGCCAAGAGTGCATTTTATTCACACTCAGAACTCATTCTGTGGCAGTCACTTCCAAAAAGAAACTGCTACACACTAAAGCTTTCACATAATTTTCAAGCATTAGTTTGGTAAAGTGACTCCCCTATATACCTGCTATAGGAGACATCCCACAGAGAGCCAGAGGGGAATGTTTAATGCTTAGACCAAGATCCTGAAAGCTCTCTGTGGTCTGTGAAAAGAAGGGATGCTACTAATGAAGCCAGGCACCATCTCCCAGCTCAGTGGGAACTAGACAACTCCTGAGTCCATCCTAGAGAGATCCTACTACAGATTGCCTCAGTACTTCTGCCAACTGCTTCAAAAATCAAACACTTCTGTTATTTCACACACCAAGCACTGTGTTCAACCATTTCACTTGCTCTGGCCTCTTCTAAGGACAATGAAGGCAACCTGCACAGCAGCAGCTGCTGGCTAAGGGCACAGAGCCCGCTCTGCCTGCTGGTTCTCAGTGACTCCTGACCCCATGCAACAGTGTTTCTGGTAACTCAGTGCAATAACTCTCTATTAGCTGTTTAAGGGCTGTAAGTGCACGCTTGACTTACACATACCGTGATTTAAAAGGCTCATAGGCTTCAGCAAGTTTCATGTACAAACGATGTTGAAGTTCTAATGGTGTTTCCTTAAAATAAGCAGCTGGCTTGTCATACAGTGTTACTGCCCTGCAATGGAATAAATTCACAAGTTCAGTAAAGAACACATGAACAACATGTATATAGTGCAGTGACAGGCTACAACAAGGTAATGCAGAAGGTAATTAAGTAAATCAACCAGCAAAATCATTAATTTTGACTCTGACAACTTTCTGTATTCCTGAAGTTTGCTGGAATACACCCAGGCGGACATAATACTCCTGTACAAAGGCCCCCCTCTCCTATGTGCACAATCAAGGGGTCTAATGCAACTCTAAGAACTGCAGGCATCATAGTCCTGACTTTCCAACTTACTTTGCAACTGATCCTGAGCAACTTGGATCTTAAAGCCTTCTGACTGCAAAAGAAAAACTTGTAGAGCAGACTAAGTGTTAAGAAATGCAGAGATGCCTGCTTCATTCTGATTCTAAGGAGCTTGGGAGCAAAATTCCACAACTCCCAGCCTGCCACCTTTTCATCAATGGGGTGTTAATTATGAAGAGTAATGAAGATTCTTGGATGCCCTCATTCCACAGCCTCATGCAAAACTGAGTGTTTCAGTGCTGATGGATGGGCTTAGGAAAGTTGCTTTTATAAGATCCCTCCGGATCCAGAATTGCCAGGAATATGTTCTTTCATTTTACTCTGCATACTCATTTGTTAGAGGTATGTGACTTACTTGATGTTGCAATTCACCCAGAGATCTTCTTTCATAGCGTTAGTGACACACAAGTTATAGTCAGACAAACGCCCAAAAAGCTTTTCATACCTGACAAAAATGAAATCAGTTAGAAATCACAGGCAGGCAATTGCATCAGCCAAACAGCTGCCCACCATGGCACATGCTAATGCAAAGCCAAACAGAACCAAAAGAAACCCAACTGCCCCCAGTAACTGCAATTTAATCACCAATTATTGATTGACTCCTTGTACCGAGGCAGGATCAGTTTATGAGAAGTGATACAGCATCACTTCCTTATCCTTTAAGGCCTAAGAACACCATACTCAAAAGCCTTTAAAGCCTTTATCTACATGAAATCAATTAGATTCAGCAAGAAACAGACATTTAAAGATGAGCTGGAGTGTAAAGTGGCATTAGAGAGTAAAAAAAACACAGTACATATAAAGAAATCTTAAAAACAAGATCAAAGTTTGCACATGCACATAAAAGCAACTGCCTACTTCATCAGATCACCTTCCTACATGCTTGACAAAGGCATTTTACAAAATCTGCTTTCTGAAATAGGAAGTAGTTTAACACAGCAAAATCCAGAAACCCCTCCCAGAAACAGCTCTCTGCTAATTACATTCACAGACGGGTTTGGGTTGGAAGGGACCTTAAAGCTCATCCAGTTCCAACCCCCTGCCATGGGCAGGGATACCTTCCACTAGAGCAGGTTGCTCCAAGCCCCTGTGTCCAACCTGGCCTTGAACACTGCCAGGGATGGGGCAGCCACAGCTTCTCTGGGCAACCTGTGCCAGCACCTCAGCACCCTCACAGGGAAGAACTTCTGCCTAAGAGCTCATCTCAATCTCCCCTCTGTCAGGTTAAAGCCATTCCCCCTTGTCCTGTCTCTACAGGCCTTTGTCCAAAGCCCCTCTCCAGGTTTCTTGTAGCCCCTCTGGCAGGTTAAAGCCATTAGAATATCAACATGTTCTCCCAGCTGTTTTCCATCCTTCTGATTTCAGCAAGGTATGTAACTTATAAAGAGGAGAAGAAATAACTGTACAAACCATTTTGCAATTTGTACTAGTGGGTGATTTCTTCCGTGGCTCAGACTCATAACAGTGTATCCATAGTTGTGCCAATCGATGATCAGCTTGCTTCTCCAGAAGAGACATGCTAGCCAGGCCACAGCTATGGCAGGTAAACCTGGAGGGTTCTATTTAAGGAATAAAACAAGTCAAAACAGCATAAAGCTGAGATCCAGTGACAAACACTAAGCAGTTACCAGGGAAAGAAAAATGACTGAAGTTACATCACGTTAAGGGATCTTAATGAACAATTCTGTATTCACCAACTATAGAACTGCCAGTTTCTCCTATAACGACTGGTAGGCACTTTGAATTTTACTACTGGATCAGGATCAACATTCCCCTCCAATAAACACACAAACATTGCTATTAAGATTTATTCTTTACTACTATCCATGCCAAGGAAGTTTGAAAGATCAACAGCTAACTGGAAGCACAAACATGAGATGTTAACAGGAAAATCGAAGTTTAGAGCCAAAAATATCATCTGATATAGATTTACACCATTGCTTAGGCCAGCTGTAGCACTCAAATAATTAGAATGTGTCTGAGACTGCTAGAAATGCCCTGTAATGTGGCACTGTTTGTCAAAATTAGTCCCAAATCATACCTGAAGAAGAATATAGGACGGCTGATCTATCTTCAGCATGGTGTACAGTAACTGCACTGCCTGCACGATGACTTTTATAACATACTGCAAAAGCTTTGGACCAACTGGGAAATGACAGAAAACCCTGTAAGAATATTAACAGCTCTCCGAGCAGAAACATGCACACTGTAACAGAACCAGAAAGGTTTAAAATAACCCTGCTCTATAGAAATGGACACGTGGGTTTTAGACAAACATCTCACAGTTCCCACAAATTCCCATTCTGTATTTTGTATGGAAAGAAGTCAGGGTACGTGTGGATAAAAAAAAAAAAACAAAACAAAAACAAAACCAAAAACTAAGAACAACCCACGGAAAATGGGGGGAAAAGGAAAAATGAAGAATATTTTCCCGTTCCACTCCATGAATGCTTCCACCCGTTAATGCTTCCACGCTGGAGCATCAATGCGCTCCAATACAACAGAGATAAGGGTTTAAAACACGTAGGGAGGCACCACGAACGTGGAGACCAGCACGCGCCGCCGGCAACGAG